GTAGTTTAGTGGCATTTAAGTCTCTGTCTACAGTTACGTGAAAACGTCTCATAGTCATACGCAAGTCTGTAGGGAACAATGACAACAATAGGTAGAACTTAGGCACTGCATTGCAGTTCCAGTTCGTATACGGTTAGGTGTATTCCAAATCAGTGTATTACTAATATTTAAATTAAAGCGTTATGGCAGTCCCTATGATAACGGGTGTTAACGTATACTGTAAAATTAAGTTTACACATAACGAATAAATAAGTAGGTTGAGCTGTAGCAGTCATAGTAACATTCCGCTTACGTTTAATTATGCAGTCAAATAAATCATCAAGTATCATTGATAAGTCTGACATCTGCATCTTTTCATGCAAAAAGACTTAGTTTCACTCAGGTAGAATAAGAAAAGTATTGTAAGCAGGATGTTAAATCTATTTAATGAAAAAAATAAGCAAATGTCTTTACACAATTGTTTTTCGTAATTATTTCGCCCATGTTGAATTGCTGTGACCAAGTTGACTGACATTACCGGATATCTGTAAATAAGTGAACAAAGTGTATGTTTTTAAATCGCTGAAGTAAGGAAGAAGTAGTGTTAAAGTTAAACGCTTTAAATTTCCATACCTTTGCTGAAAAAGGTTCATTTTCCTTTTTCATTCTTTGGTGATGACAGCATTCTTGTGTACTTTTTAATGTCACACAGAGATTGTTCGTCTAATACAGTATAGCAGCAAGCAAATAATAAGTGTTAACTAGTAAACCATTCACAATGAACACTGTACAGAAAACTTCATCACATCTTCATTTTAACCAACTTTTCCTTCACGCACAGAAGCATGCAGTCACTACATACACTCAAGCATTGTAACCTGAACATCACAAAATCCCTATAGATAACTTCTTTCATAATAAATGATTTAAACATATGAGCCATAAGTGCATTTTCCATATCCTTCATAGCCAGAAGTAATTCATTAAGGATCTCAGAATATCTTAGTGATCTGAACACGAACGACTGTTAAGACTGGGATAACTTATGTAACTGGTGCAGTAGTTGTAGGACACACCTGCTAGCTACTAATCGACAGAAAATTGATACTAATTTTAAGTAGTCTGACATTTCAGGAGGACCATCTGCAGTATTCTTCGTAACCCCATGCACACTGATATACACATAATCTGATGCGATTTTTGACAATGAACAATTAAAGCCTTCTGACATTCCAAGTGCAAATGTCAATTAAACTAGTATCATGTCTTTGCCTAAGCAATTTTAAATGGGAACTTCATCAAAGTAGATATAATCACCAGGAAATGCAGCAGCCTGTCTCATTCATTGCATGATCTCTTCCATGTGCTATGGAATATTTCAGTCATCACAGATGATAAAAGAAGTGTCTGACATCCTCAAAACACACATCAAACTTATGTCTCTAGGCTATTTCTCTTTCAAATGCACGATTCTCATAGAATAACTGGGATGACAACAGCCATTGCCTGCAGTCAATTTACAACCTTAAGATCTGAAGCAACTCACAAAAAACAATGCCTAAATGCTCTAAAACCCTAATAATGGACTTTTTATGCGATATTTCTTCAAAATGATGACTTTTTTATTAGTAATTCGTCTAGGCTGTTATGACAATTTTACGCATTACTACGAACACAATACACAAAAATATTGCATTTTTCGGCTAAAGAAACCTAAAACTAGTCAAATAGAATCTATTTTCACAATACTGAGCGGTTAGAACGTCTCTATAGGCGTGAACGCGATAACACATGCAATGCGCGAAAACACCTTATCATAGAACATAGCCTCACTCGAGGAAAATGCACGTCGTATTCAAGGAGCGCGCGCTTGTTTATTCGTGTTAGTACACTTCGTACTATCCGTGAACGTCAATACCTTTAGCCTCTAAACTAGTGAGCCCTACCGTGAACTTCATCTTTGGTAAATACACAGACAAATCCGGTGAGTTCGTTCCATTTTGTATTTGTTCTTGTACTATTTTCAAACTATATATATTTCGCTATGAGTTATCGTACTCCAAAGATCATCCGTATTTGCTAAACTGCCAAAACTATTCAGCTCGTACCATTTCGGTCAGATAGTACTGAACCATGGTCTCAGATACCTGAGTTTGATTTTAGTGAACACGGGTTAACTGAACAACGTTCACAGTTCCTTGCAGTTGTTCACTCCCTACTGATAGAATTAAGCAAATGCGTGACTGCGCATTTGTCGAGCCCACAGGTATGTAACTCGTATGAGTTGCTTAAACCAATCTTCCTAAAGAGAAACGATCTCACGGATCGACAGCATCTTGACGAACTATTTCGCAACGTCGGGTTAGGTGATCAGTCATCTGTGAACATGCTAACGAGAATGAGGGAAGCTATCGGCTAACGTGAGTGACTAGTGTAATCTGCCTAGTCCTAACTTCGGTGCACAGTGAATTCCATCAATCAAGCTGGCAATGTGACCACCATGCTAGGTGGTTGGCCATCACGTAACACTGTGAAATGTTGATATTAGATGGTAGGAGGCAATCAAAACGAAGTCTTGAAACTAGGTTTCGTGCTGGTTGGTACTCATCGGCAGTGCGTATCTGCAACCTCGAGGGAACTCATGTCCCTCTTGAGAGTCGAACCCGCGTCACCCAGTGCTGCATCCAGATACGTTACCATCGAGCTATTCAGGCCCGCGATCGCCCTTCCGCAGGTTAGTATTGGATACTTCGGTTGAACACTAGTCAGTAACTAGTGTAATGTGCCTGGTCTCATCTTCGGTTCAGACTGAGTTCTATCGGTTAAGCTCGCAATATAATAATAATAATAATGTATTTCATATAAATTTACAAATTTACATGAAAATGCATGCCATTTTTACAGGCACGATCAAGTATGATATAATATCAAATCGTAGATTGTCTACAAGTTAATCGTATTTCAACTGTTAAATATTCGATACATATAATACACTCATTTTCTGAATTAGGCCGTATAGTTATTGAATTGTACAGTTGTCCTCCAGGTTGAGCGGGAAAATCGACTTCGTTCCGTTTTCATCCCGTGGTTGTAGGCATACGATAACCAACCGATATTGAGGTAAGTACACCTTTTACAAGGGATTGGAATCTGTTTTAGAAAAATTAAAGTGCTGAGGTGAATCATTAAATTGTAATGAAATAGGTAAGTGCAAGTATCATTAATAAATGCATTAATAAAGGAAACACCCTAGGGTAACAACATTCATTTGCAATGTATAATGCTACAGATATATCACAAACTATCATGATATCAACTTTTGGTTTTAATACAATTATCCTCATGCCAGTTGTTTTTATTTTATACCTTTTTGTGCATTTAGTGCACTACCGTACCCTTCAGAGAGTAGGAGTATAATAAGTAATGAAGAGCTATAAGATGTTAAGTTTAATGGAGTAAAATGAGGATCAAGTAAAGACGTTGTCAGAAAATAAATGAGATAAGACATTGTGGAGTGGTATGAAAAGATCTGACGATAGACAGCAAGTTAATTTATAAGATGCCCCATAAATCTGAGCAGATCCCACATGGTCGCATCTCAACAATAGGCTGGGTGAATGGTATATATTTAAAGGTAGAAGCATGATCTGTCAAGGCGTTCATTGTTATCTTTTTCAAGATAAAGATTTAAGCCCTCATAAAAACCAGAAATATCTCGAGCCTTCAAATTTTTTAATGCAATACAGTCCTACAGGAGGTCAATGGCAAGCCTGAATAGCTCAGTGGTAAAGTCTCTGGATGGAACACAGGATGACGTGGGTTCGACTCTCAAGAGGGACATGAGTTCCTTCGAGGTTGCAGATACGCCCTATCAATGAGGGCCAACCAGAACGAAACCCAGTTTCAAGGCTTTCTGCTGACTGCCTCCAACCATCTAATACCAACAAAGACACAACCAGCTGTGCACGTATTCTATGGGGAGATTACTGTAATAAACTGTTTCATGTTTCGCCGTATAAATTAACCATCAGTCTTCAATAAACCTATAAAAAAACTAATTTTCAACTGGCTCAATGGTCTGTCAGTTAGCACAAAATTTTGACTATTTACGCGTCAGCCGGATAACTAAATAGTCAGAGTTCATCACACTGAAGAACAATGCATAGCTAAAATGCCAAATAAAACACCTGCCTTTCCCATTTTACCAACCCTTTTCTTCTGTTCACTAAAATTTTTACATCCCGACAAATTCCATTTCACTCAATCTTATTCACATATTTCCGACGCTTTTATCCATTTTCCACATATCCTCGACGAACCGGTTACCCACTATTTTCCATCTAACACGATCTCGAATGAAAAGTTGCCCAGGTCTTTGACCACTTTCACCTTACCCTCAAAAAACCTCTTAGTTTGATTCTACATTTCAGAAAAGATATGAATTTAATCACTCTGACAATGGTGCAGTAAGATTACACTGCTGCTGGATGTTTTCCAGAAATTTCAATTTTTCGATGGAATACTCTACAGAAGGAGTCATTAATTTTCATTTGGAAAATAATTTTAAACTTTCAAACAACCAAGAGCCTATCGCTCAACAGATATGTAGATGAAATGAATGTGGATTAGGTATACGTTGAGGAGACCGTCGAATAGCGTTGCGTGCCAGCCAGGTCATTGCTTGAGTGGAATTCAAATAGGAAGCGAGTAGTGGCTCGTCTGTACGAGGGTGACATGAAGGAAATCGTGAGAGGAGGAGGAGATGAGAGATTATGGTCAATCGTGGACCCAGCGGGAGAGGACAGAATTGAATAGAAGAAAGTAAAGATGTGTTGCTGAATCCTTATTTCCCTCTCGTCACTTGAGGGAATTAAAATAATTATAATAACCGACTCACGATAAATGTTGTACTCCACTCACTAACAGACAATCTTCATTACTCTAAATTAGTCTTAATATTGAAATTTAATTGGATTATTACTCATTTGTTGTTGAATTACGTCTTTTTTACTGTCGCAAGATATAAAACGTCCTTTGCGATTACGCGCGTCATATGAACTGGGCGGTGACTTAAGGTCACGTATATCAAAAATGGATAAAAGTTCTACTTCTCAGGGTCGGGTTCGTTACAAAAGTCTCAGTGGTGAGAAGTATATGGTTGTCTGGGACAATAGCAAGGTTAGTAATTACACCTTCATCATTGTCTAAGCTTTATGTTTGAGGTATTCTTAGCTATATGTAGGATTTTTATCAAAACTAGTGGATTTGGGTGTAGTTTTACTTCATCATTGGCACTTGCAAAGAGAAACAAAACGTTTCTCTTATGCTGAAAACATGCTTTCACCTGGAGTCACTCGTTTTTGTGTCAGAACTGTATATTTTGTTATTAACAGGTTACTGTGTTTGACAATTAAATTTCACTTAACCAAGGAAGTTTTATCATTTAGGTCCGGCCTTTTTCAATGCCTTTTCCCTATTCGTGTTGTTTTAGAATTTGTGAACTCAAAGCAATGCACTTTAATAAGACTTTGTATATGAACTATTGGCCGTGGCATAATTATTAACTACCGTTCATAATTTTGTGCTGTAATTGTTTACCAATGAATAAGTGGTTACTTAATTGTTCTGGAAGTATTCTGAAAACTAAGCTAGTGACATTACGATTTTTATTGAATATGTTTACTGCAGATTCAGATAATAATAATAATACTGTTTAAGCATCTAAAAGAATATAACAAACCAGAAGTTACCTTACAAAAGACTCTCCCTATATATATATATATATATATATATATATATATATATAAATGTCAATTGATCAATTCAGCTTTGTTGATTTTTGTACTCTGAATTCTAGAAGTTTGAGGCAATAAATGGTTAAATAGTAAAATTGGGCATTGGTAATGTTAAATTGTCATTGAAGCGTGTTAATTACGGCTACTAATATGTGGACTGTTCTTCGTTTATTTCTGTAAGACATGGCCTTTAGAAATAAGCATGAAGATGTTATGGACTTTTGACCACCCGCACCATCTTTCACGTACTCATGATTAGTGGAACAGTGTGGAATGCAGTAAATAGTGTTAGCTTAGACTGTTAAATAAGGATCCATGGATCAACAAATGCTAGTATTGCTCATCACATTCCTCAGTGATGTTATGTTGACTGCGGTAAAATCTTTTCCGAAAAGAGATGATCAAACCAAAACATGCCATTCAGATTCAGATTCAGATGATAAGGATAGAAGGCTCTTGTGGCCTGTGTTAATCCTTGCAAAATATATCTCTGCAGAGATCTAACTTCTCTTTGAAAGCGTTCACCGATGGAGCTGTTACTACTGAATCAGGTAAGGAGTTCCAGTCGTTGACCACTCTGTGAGAGAATCTAAACTCCAAACGTATTTTATTCGACCTTGGTTTGAGCACCTTCTTCTGGTGACCCCGTAAATGTATCCTAGAGGGAGAGAAAAGGTTTGAAAGGTCAATCCCTAAATCACCCTTGAATATACGGTAAGCCAAAATTAAGTCGCCTCTCCTCTTTCGGTATGATAATGGGAAGAGATTTAAATGCTCCATCCTCTTATCATAAGGAAGGTGTGAGATACCACTAACTAATTCCGTTCCTACCCTCTGTACTCTTTCCAGGGTATGTGCCTCCTTTTTGAAGCATTGACTCGCCGCTTCTATGCAGTACTCTAGATGAGGCCTGACATACGTTGCATAGAGTACTTGGAACATACCCTCGTCCAATTGTTTGAAAGATCTTCGAAGTGCCCATAGCATTCGAAAAGCCTTAGCTGCGGCTCGATTACAGTTCGCCGTTGTTTTTAAGTCATGGCTAACAACAATTCCTAAGTCCTTTTGTGCCCTAACATCTGGCAGTTCTGTGTCCCCCATGGAGTACGACGTGTAAGACTTCTGACCTAGGTGCATTACCGCGCTTTTCTTGGAATTAATTTCCAGACTCCAAAGGTTAGCCCATTCGGTTAATTTGTCTAGATCGTTTTGTAGTACCAACCTATCATCGCTACTATTTACGGTTTTCCATATCTTAATATCTTAATGGATAAGTTCATTGGCTATTGGTTTGAGTCGCGTAGACAGGAGCAAATGCCTTGACTGGAATAATAATCTAGGGTAGGTTGATTTTAACTGCTGATGATGAGCTAATAAAGTCTTAAATTCAGATAATACTTAATGAATCCAGGCCTGAATAGTTGTGAATGTCACAATGTGCGTCGGTGGCACAGCGGTTAGGACTCTTGCCAACCATGCACATGTTCCGGGGTTTCATCCCCGGCCGACTCACACGTGATATCAATGGTCGGCCTGCTAAATTTGGGCTACCGATATCGGATGCTGGAAATCCCATAGTTGTACCGAAATACGATGTGGAACCAAGCTATAATAAAAAACAAAAATTATTTTTTAGCTTTCAATCTAATTACTATGATTAATTACTAAAAACGTAAAAATAAAATTATTAGAATTAGTTTCCACAGTCTCGAAATTTACAAAAATCCACTGGTCTAATTGAGGCGGAACAATTACAGTCTTACTTGCTATAAGGCCTAATTTTTGTTGATGATAGCCAAGATGAGTTTCCAGTGAGATATAAATTTTCCCTATGCTATAAAAATTCGAAAAATATATGTCGACTCATTTGTTTAAGAAGTATGCTCACCGAGCAGTCATAGTCAAAATTGAATTTAAGTCTAAATATGTAAAGCGCATGTAGCACCCATGTGGTCATGTTGACTCCAACCGATAGCTCTTACCCTGACGTGGTAGTCAAACTTGCAGATGCGAATGGCCCAACAAATTACATTGACTAGAAAGAATTTTCTTGCAGAGAATTCTATGCCTTAAAGGTAGCTTGAATAGCGTTTAAACTATCAGCAGTTAGCATCTTAGTGTGCATCGTTTACATTATTTTAGTGGGTCCGAGGGTGTGGCTGTACACCCAGAGAATGGGGATGTAACAGCCATAATGTATTTTCTGAAATGACCAGCAAGCTAGCTGTGCCACCTCTTCAGCCTGTAGACGGGGAATAGAAAATGTCAATACAGAAAACTGTACATTTTAAATTCCTCTGCGGCTGTTCTTAGTCGTAGGTAAGGTCTCTGTTTTGTTGGTATCATGGGTCAAAGTCATTCTCAATGGCGCAAATGCATTGACTCTTTGTGTTATCCTAGATCCATTAAATTATCATTTTCCTGCATGTGATTATTCTTCCTGTCTGACATTTCTGATCGTTGCAGTCCCTTCGATTCTTTTCTCTTTTGTCTACCTTTGTGTACTATATGGAGTATGGCAGCTTGAAGTTATGCACTTCTATGCAAAGCTCTGTGTTGAAACGCAGTCATAAACTTGGTGTAGATCTTTGTCAAGATAGAAACAGCGCTTGTGATTATTGTGCTGTAGTACAGATTCTTAGAAGCTTTTTATTTTTGTTTTGTACATCTTCATGTATTTGTCTGAGGGTTGATATAGTACCGTGTTGTGGAGCCACCTAGAGTAGTGGCCACATTGCAAACTTGACTGCTACGAGAATTTAGTCTGTACTAAACAAAGGACTAGATTGATGATACTAGTTACTAACTACTGTCCAATCAAAGTATTCTACATCTAACTTCAACTAATTTCAACGTAGAACTTTGCACCGATGTGCAGCAGTTTGAGTCGCCAAAGTTCACTCAGCACATAAAGCAAGAGGAGAAAAAGAAAGTAAAAAGAAACTCAAAATAGAGACAGTAAGCAGAGATATAAGGCGAAAAGAATAGTAATATTGAAGAGCCATATAGTTTTATTGGATATTATAAGTCACAAGGAGTGGATTCATCTGCGCCAGCTATCGAGAACGATTTTGAACCATATCACACCATTTGTCTTCAGTCTTCATTGGTGTTTACCGTCCCGAGGACCCCAACCAGCCATTCAGGAAGTCAACACCTACCTACGTGGCTGGCTTAAACTAACTGTTGAGGATTTCATTGACTGATGAAGTCATGTTTTGGTTTGGCCATCACGTGCTAGTTCTTTTCCAACCTAATCCTATGTCGGCTAACGTTCCCCGTCGAGGAAGGCGATGGCTAGGCATGCGTAACATATGTCCTAATTATCTCAGTAGATGCAACTTCACAGTCTCGTCTATTGATTTCCCCTCTTTACCTAGCACTCGATCAACGCCTAACCTCAATATTGCTCACCCTATTATATCACTTCACACTGAAGATAGAACGCAGACACCTATGATCAAAGACAGCTAGCCAACCTTTTCATGTCTTCCACTTTCAATGGCCATGTCTCACTCACAGGCAGCCATAAAGGAGGACGGAGCGGACTGCTGAGCAGTGCAAACGCCCTTTGGTCGACGGCCGGTCGGATATCATGTCTACGCGTTAACTGGCATATGCAAAATGAGCCTTGTGTATCCGTGCTGAGATTTCGTCAGCGATGAACTCGTTGGCACTGGCTGATGCAACTTCCCAAATAAGTGAATTAAGTTGTCAACACGCTCCACCAACCACTTCACTCCCTATTTCTAAGCTAGAAGTCAATGTAGTCCAGTCACATAGAATTTGTAGCTCAGGTGGATAATTTTGGCTTTTTTTGTTCTCTAAGCCGAATGGTTGGTTTAATTTCACAGCTTCTCTTATATTAATCCTTGCGGAATGCATCTTCAACACCGACTTTAATTAAATTAATCTATGCGTCTGTCTAGCTCAGAAAAATCGACAAGAACATTATAAAGCAGTTTAGGTATCGTTGAAACTATTTAGTCTGTTTACTTGTTTCCAGCTCTCTGTATAATGCCTAGGCGATCTGTTATCCCTTTGGTACCGATCTAACTGTACTGTAATGACAAACGGAAATGAAGGCGTGTTCATCGAAGAAGTTCTTTCCTCTGAATTTATTTATTTATTTTAGCTGTTCAAACGCATTTATAAAAGGGTAGGAAAATATGTGTTGAGGGCCAAGTTAAAATTTAAGCACCATTAACTACCACTGGAGTGCGGCCGCACCAATGATCCTGAAACGCTCACTGAACAAGTTAGTGAAACCTGACAAATTATGTTGTCATCATCAATAAAATATGCTCATCGAAGTGTTATGCTACTAATGGGATATCTGGCAAGTGTCAACTTACGATTGAGAAAGATTAAGTTACGCTTTAA